GAATTCAGCAAATATGCTTAGTAATTATTAATACCTCATACTTATATATCTATTATATATAAACATATATTCACATGTCTTAGTTAGTATTCTATTACTGTGATAGAACACCATAACCCAAATTAGCTTCTAGTCCATCCCTAAAGTACATCAGGGCAAGAATTCATGGTGAGAACCTGGATCTGAGAGTGTTGCTTACTTGCTTGCTCAGTTTCCCTTCTTATACTACCCAAGACCACTAGAACAGAGCTGGCGCTACCCAATGTAAGCTGGGATGTCTCACATTTGTTAATCATTAATCAAGAAAATTTACCACAGGCTTGTCACAGACAACCTAATGGGAGGATTTTCTCAATTAAAGCTCCCTCTTCCCAAATGTCTGACTTTTGTCAACTTTACATAAAACAAGACTGCGCTACACATGTTTAATCATTAAAATGAAAAGTTGGGAACAAGGTAATTGTGTTTATAAGATACTTTTTATGTTTGAAGATATCAAAACCTGTACAGCTACAATATTTTCTTTCTTGAGGCACACTTGTACATCAGTCTCCAATTAAAGGATGTGCAGCCTTAAAATTTAGCCCAGAATGAAATAATTTGACAGTAATTTTATTAACTTCCCTGTAATAAGGTTATATCATATACTATTTGCTTCTGAACTTCAAATTTACAAGAACTTATGTTTAGAAGAAAATACTGTATTTTCTTACTCGCTTGCCTCTCCTGTCACAGCAATAATAGCTAACTAAATAACTAAACAAATTCAAATATAAACAGAACCACTTTTAAAATCTCCAGGCAATGCTTCATAAACTTCTCCCACAAAAGTACCCCTAATGGAAGCAAAGATTGAACACGCACCCCTAGGGATCTGTGGCAAGTGTGAAATTTCTTTGAAGTCATCTGTTTTATTTTAAAAATTCATGTGGCTTTTGCATCCTTCTCTGTAATATATATCTGTTTTAATGTAAAAATGATGTGTTTTCTTCAATATCTTTGAGTTACAGAGCTCTAGGAAAATATGCTAAGTTGAAACCAAAGGCTTGCTTCTCCAAGAAATGCATAATTTTAAAGCTTAGCTTTGTGAAGAATAAAGATAATTATATGAATAAAGGTTTCCTACATTTTACATAATTCTTTGTTTTACTTTCAGTTCAAAGTGATGGCATTTTCCTCCATTATCAGTAATTTGGAGGCCTATGCTTTTAGTACTGGGTGAGAATATGCCTGTTGTTTGCCACATTAGCAGAAAACATCATTTTCGTATAAGGTAAGTAGCTGAATTCTAATAATCACAAAGCATAGATACTGGTGGTCATACATTTATTCATTATATGTGAAATGTAGTACATTCATCAATTCAGGTTTTGCATTATTCCTTTACCTCCGATCTTAAAAAAAAAAGTTGTTTTGTTTTCTTAATATAAGTGGATCATTTACAAGATGATCCATTTTCAAAAGTATATTAATTATTTAGTGTTTATGTATTTTTTATTTCCACTGGTAGAATATGAATATTATACATACAGAATATGAAACCCACTACTGAATGTGACAAGATTTGACTCAAATGATCCTGAAATTTATGTTAAGGAAGCAAAGGCAAATTAGACTCAAATATTAAGGACAAGTATTTAACTATAAAACACATAAATGGCTAGACTTTCACCATTTCTTTCCTTCCTGTAGAGACTAAACTTAAAAGTATTTTCTCCTGAGGCTTTGGTAAGGAGACATTAAAAAGAAAGGAAATGGATTTTGAGCTGTGTTTTGACAAATGGTAGTCAGTTGTCTTAGAGGACAAGGCAGGTGAGATTTTCATGTAGGGGATGCAGGAGGAAATTGTACACACAGACAGGATTATTATAAAGGAATAAAAATGGCTCAAGAGAATATATGTCTGGATACACTGAAATGAGAACTAGGAGGAAATGAAAGTGGGCTGCAAGCAGGCAGGGTGTGCTTAAGAAGTTTTTGAGTTGAGAACTCTTTGAAATTCACAGGGAAAGGAAAAGGGCTAGTCAAAAACAAGTGGAGAATGGGGATTGCTGCAGCCCAAACAGTGAGATAGGAAAAGGGTATGCAGCAACAGAGTCTCCTGAAAACACTGGCTGGATCAACACAACAATGGATGAATTTGGCTGCTGTAATAATCAGAGGAAAAGAAATTCATGAAACTGTTAAAGAAATATATGAAAAGATCTATCAAATAGTCCAGGCATATGAAAGTAACAAAGCTGAATAGAAATCGTGCTTAGTTGAAAATTGAAGAACTATAAAACATATTTAAGATCATTTTCTTCTAATCTAGCAATCAAAATATTGCAATGTCCTTACTGGTGGATCAATTGTTAATACTAATATCACTATAAGTTCTAATGACAGTAGTATAATAGTTGTGAAATTAGTAAGATACTACTGCATGCTTTGTATACGTCAGTTCCATATTTAATCTTACTATTGTTGACATTCATTGTCATTTTCTAGATGAGGACAAAAAAAATATCACTACCTCAATCCTCTGAGACTAGTAAATAAAACAATTAGAATTAGAAATTTTCAATAACTTAAAAGGCTTTGTTTTGCTGTCTGCCTTTATCAGTTATAAAAATGGCTAAAAGTATTTGGTATTAATGTTTTAGAAGCAACTTAAAAGGTTTTGTTCTGCAGCCCTACAGACTACAGCTAGGATATCTGAATCTTCTTCGAATCCCCCAAGAAAGCGCCCCTTACCAGCAGGAAGTAGTTTGGAAAGAACGACGCCCAAATTCCCAAATATTGTGTATAAATGTTTCTTTTCATTTATTTGGACTTTGTTATATAAAATTAAATAAAAAAAAAGAAAAAAAAAAAAGGTTTTGTTCTGATGCCTGCATTTAGCAGTTGTAACAATGGCTAAAGTATTCGGTATTAATGTTTTAGAAACAATTTGAAAGGTTTTGTTATGGTGCCTGCATTTATCAGGTGTAACAATGGCTGAAGTACTAATGTTTTAGAAAGAACTTAAAAATATAAGCATTATATAAAAATACAGTCATGTATTATGTAACAGAAATGCATTACTAGGTACCTTTTTGTGTCATCTTAAGAAAACATTCTAATAGTTTTTTAAGATCATCAGAAAATACTGACTTATGGGGAAAAGGTTATATATGAAGTCCCTTGATAATGAACTTCCAAACCTACTAACTGTGAAAAATAAATTTATTTTCATTGCTAATTACAAAAGTGCATGGTATTCTATTACAGCAAAATAAAACGGACTGTGTGTTACTTTGTATATGTACAATATCAATAAACAGATATTTAGAATTGAAGTCTATCATTCTATTTTATTCAACTCAAGATATATATATATATATATATATATATATATATATATATATAGATGAAGTCACAACAGGTGTTCTAAATATAGGAATTGAAAATTATAACCATAAAATTTGTAGGACAATACATTATAAACTAAAATTGATCTATTTCCTTTTAAAACTGATTCTACTTATTAGACAAATGAAATTACAAATATCCTGATACAGGCCAATTAAAATAGCAAAATCTGACCTAATTTCTGAACTGGTTTCATTTGTGGTATTCCACATTGCCAATGTAATAATATCTTTAGTTACAAGGGATTCATAAACGCTGTAATATATAAATATAACTTTCTACTGTATTATAAATTTTTAATGAAGATAATACTTAATACTATGGAATCACGATAAATCCTCAATAATTAATCTTGACCTTTGGACTATAGGAAAAATAAAAATAAGACAAGGATCTGATTGAAAATCCCATAGCAGCAGAGAACTGTAGAACAATGTCCACAAGTGATAGTCTGGACTTTACAGACTATTCCTTCAAAAGACACTAAGAGGGTTATTCAGTTTGCAGTAAGTGTAGGGAACATGGTTTTATGTCCTTCCTTTAAGTCTGAAAGTATTGTGGTTTAATAAGTATCAAGATATACATATAGGCTGAATAGATGTTTATTCAGGGAGAAATAACATACAACCTAGACAGATGAACACCAGCAGGTTCCACTGGATGCTCTCCTCTCCACTCCACGTCCCACCTCCCAGGATCCTCCTCAGACCTACTTCCATAGGTAACTTCCACCCTGACTCCAACCCCCAATGGGCGTGGTCAGTGCCACAGAAGGAGACAAAGTGAATATCTCACTACATCAAAGTTGCAGAATATAAACTCTACAGTATATATTTCTCTTATTTCAAAGAAAAAAATAAAATTTGCACCCATTTAATACCACCTCTAGAAAAGTATTTCCCTGATCCATCCTATTACATTTAATGACTTGTTAAGTTTGTTTAGTAGAGGAAGCTACTCACCCTGCCTTAAATAAAACCTTACAAGCATTCTGCTTCACTTCTGCCTTCATTTCTGAATTCAGTATACAATGATGTGGGACCTGAGTCTTCATTGGATATTTCTGAGATGTCTAACTTACTCCTGTAGGATCATCATCAACCATTCCTTTTATCTGCCCTAAAAAGTTCTGCTAGTTTACCTGGCATCTGTTGAGTTATTTCTGGACACTAACCCCTTTGCCATGATGATAAAATTTCAGCATCATATTTTACCGGTTCAAAACACTTTCTTCTTTATCTGAACTACAAAACATTATCTTTAAAACCTTCTCAAGGAACAATGTCTTGGAATCACTTTGAAATCAACAAAATATGGTTCATTTACAGTGGACATTTAAGTTCTTATCAACTTAAAGAATAGAATGTATTGTTTGATTAGAGGTCCAAAAACTTCAATGACCTAGCACTGTTAATAATGAAGATGAAGAGAGGTTATTTAAATATACAGCAGGGTCAAATATAAGCCAATCAAAACTATCTTTCCACTTTTCTTACATCAACAAAGAACATTTTATGATTAATAGTGCTCACTGTTACCTTTTAAATCTCATTTAAACTAAAACACACAGGCTAAATATAATCTCAAGCCAGCTGCTAATCGATTACCTTTGCTTGCACTTTCCACATGTTCCAGCTCATCAGGAAATTTCAGGATATCTCGGTGTTTTTCTTCACAGATTTCAGCAAGAAAATGCAAAAGGGTTGTTTTTTGATCTGCTGACTTTGTATCTTTGATCTGGAAGAAAAAAATAGCAAATAGCATATTTTTGTAATTAAATAGACATTTTTAAGCAAGTCAAACAAATACATGGTTATAGACCACAATGAAGCTCACTTGAACTTTTTTTTTTTTTATTTACTTGGCAGGTGTTTCTTAAATGGCATCTAGTTACATAGCCCAGGATCTTAAAATGAATGTAATATTTTATAAAGGAGAAAAACACTAATATAAGAGACACATTAAGCCTTAATCTATATTTTCAAAAATGTCTGAATCATTATGGCAAAATGAACTATTCTTTTTATGAGACACGAACACTCATTTAAGTATTTATAGTAATAGCCTCATTTAATGTGTGTTGATTCTAAGAACACTGTGGTCTTCACATTATTATGAAATAAATTCTTGAAAGGCACATTTATATGTGAGATTAAATTTATTTCTAGCTATCATTGACGCAAATTAACATAAAAGAGTCAGTATGGTTTACATTCCTATACTTGCAAAGGCCATACGAAAAAAACATTACAAAGTTGTTTCTTTCAGACTTATAAACCAAAATCAGACTACACAGTCATGGAAACACAAAATTTTTTATTATTTATTTGCTTAACAATGTATGAGTTTTTTAGCGATACAAAGAAAAAAATGCCATAAATAGAATGACAAAAATCTTTAAAGGATAGAACACAAAATTTTAGGAGGCTCCAATGGTTCCTTTTTTAGATTTCTTAAACTAGACACAGCTGCAAATGAAACGAGAGATTTACTCAGAAACATACAATGTATAAATATAAGACAGTGTTTCACATTTTTCTCCATTTATTGGATGTTTTAATTCTATAATCTTTAGATGATGTGTTTCTCCACTGGTGTTCATACTGATTTGGGGTTTTAGCTTTAAGAATTACTCTGTTTAGAATAAATATGTCTTGTTCACAAACAGGTTTAGGAAAGGCTATAAAGTTAGATAGTTAAAAATAGTTAGTTAGTTAGATAGTTAAAAATAAATGAATCCTTACTGTTTTAGTGAGTGTTAAAAAAGACAAAGAAAAGGAAATGCATAAAATTAGCATATGAAAATACCAGTTTCTGTTTTTGTTTTTGTTTTTTTTTTTGCAATACTGGCTATGTACATTTTTAACAATTGTAAAATACTTTTGTAATTTGTGGTATTTAATATTTGGTATTTAATATTGTATAAGAGTATGTTGTTCCTTTTTATCTTCTTTGTATATCTTTGTCTCCACAGACTTGGGGAAAAAATCTATTTTCTTACCTTGGCATCTATTTGGGGTGATCTCAGATTTTAAGTTGTGAGGGATTTATTTTTAATGTCCCACATAGTGTAAAATGTTGTGCTTTGTGGACATATAACACTGTAATCCCAGCTAAAGAGTTCTCTTTGGGGACCAGAGCCTCCCATTGATTCTTCTATAGCTGCTAGCCTTACTTAAGATAAACTGCCCTTGAGGTTCTTGTTGCTTTTTGTTCTTACAGCTTGTCCTTGGATTGTGGAATTCAATCTTGTAGTACTAAAAGGTGTTTGGTGAATGAGCCTTTTAAATATTTTCCATATATGGAATACTGTATTTGTAGAATTTCTCAAAGAAATAATGAACACTGGAACATTATGCTTCCTGTGTCCATTTGTTTATGGAGATGTGAGGCTAATGTTCTTTATATTTGTTCAGATCATGTGGCTGTAAATAAGTGATAAAAGGTTTAGCATTAAACATATTTGATATAGGCATGGTTTAATAAATGCTATGATTCTTTTTTAACACTCACTAAAACAATAAGGATTCATTTATTTTTAACTATCTAACTAACTAACTATTTTTAACTATCTAACTTTATAGCCTTTCCTAAACCTGTTTGTGAACAAAAGATAATAAATTTTTTATGTTCAAATATAATATTAAATATTTAGTTAGGTAGAAAGAAAACATTTGAGTAATTAATGGGTACCTAATTTTTTTTAAAAAGATTACTCATTTTTTTAGGTGTTTGTGTGTTTGTGTGTATGCCACATGTACACAGGCATCTTTGTAAGCCAGAAGAGAATGGCAAATCCCCAGGAGCGGGTGTTAAAGACATCTGAGAATTTCTTGGTATGGGTGATAGGAATAGAATTTGGGTGATCTGTAAGACCAGCAAGTGCTCTTAAACACTGAGCCATTTCCCCAGGGCCCCCTAAAGGATTTTCTGATTCTAAATATGAGTCATTCAGGCCTAATAATTGTTGGTCATGTCACTGTTCTGAAATCTGTATATTTAAGGACACAGAGTCCTGCATGCAACCAGGGAGCCAGAGAAAGCATCTTAATGATCCATATCAACCACACTCCACCCATCTGTGAAGGACCTTATCTGGAGGTAGTTTACCCTTCTGCTTCAACAAACCCGTTTTTATTGTTTTGTCTTCAGTGCAAACTGAAACAAACAAAACCAGAACTTGTGGCTGTCCACTGAGAACAACTTGTCAAAGTGAAATTTCCTTTTTCAAAGTAAATGTGGTTAATTAAATCACTCCATAGAAATGCCATTCTTCAGTTGTTGAATTTATGGCTAATAGGGTTGCCTGAAAATGTCTAATGCAAAGCGCCTATTTCATCTTCTAGAAAAAAAAAATCATCCAACCACTTTCTTTTGCATACACAGCCATTTATGTGCTGCTTCTTGTATTTTTGAAAATGTCACTTATTGCTTAGACTAGTCATAGATTAGCAGAATGTAGTTTAGTTTTATATATGTTATTCCTTGACTAGAACCCATCTTTCTCTCTCCTTGTATCTGTTAAATACCTACATACACTCTAAGACTAGGTGAATTACCATAGTATCTGTGAATACTTCTCTCCGAAAATTATGTTCTATGGCCTATTTTCTATGCCGTGTACAATTGAATAAAGCTGTTTTTGCATGCAATATGTATTTTGAAAGCATGCAGAGATCATTTTAGTAGTAAATTTTAATTACAGAATCTAGGAAGAAGGCATAACATATTAGGTGGTCAACAAATGTTTCTGAATAAATTTTTCTGTCTTTATAATAACTCTCATTTGTGTATGCAAAATAGGAATGGAGCTAAATATAGCTCTATTCTTAAGTTTATGTATAGACACATGGACACATGCACACATGCACGCAGGCAGTGACTACAAAGGTTTGACTTCTCCAGGAAACTCTATATGCTGGGAATTAGGTGAGGGTGGAAGGCAGAGTGAAGTGAAAATATTCTCCACTGTGCAACAGACAGTGTCCTCAATATTTGAAAATGAGATCAATAATGATGTGTGGTAACTTTGAAGCTTTGAGGTTTGAATTTAGTAGAAAATATGTAAATATAGAAAATATATAGAGTATCTTTTGGCAAATGTCAAGGACTGATATAATTGTAAGGACTTGTCAGACATAGTAGGAAAAAAGGTAAAACTGAGTCACTGTGAAAAAAACATAAGTGTTTTGTCAATGAGTAACAAGAAGAGAAAAATGGGAATAAAATCAGTCCCCATAAGTTTTAAGATGTGCTAATTATGACATAAAATATCAGAAAATCCTAATTTTAGACTGAGCGTGCTTTAGAATGGAGAAAGCAATGTGGAAAACACTCTCTGAGAAGGCGGCTATGAACAACTCATTCTCTCTGCTATATTTTTCATAATTATTAGATGAGGAGACAATGAAATTTTATTCATTATTATTGGATACACAATCAGACTTGAACCTTTAGCCTACCACTTCCTGGTTCAACAATCTTGAGTAAACACTTTACTTAATTATAAACTAGGTGTAAAATAAGTAGCTATGGTCCCAGACATGTTTGCGGAACTTGATATGGGGCAGGCACTTTGGTATGTGCCCTGTATGCATATATTTTATCAGCCCTCAAAACAACTTAGTGAACTAGTTATCTCTATGCCCATTTTACAGGTAACATAGAGCATATTGGCAGAGTTCAATTGTTAATAAGGGTTGGTGCCAGAACATAGCCTGTTCACTTATACATGTTGAAATTTAGTGTGTACTGGATTTAATAATGGGTTATATGTTACAAAGAAGGTGTTTGGGAAGGGGAAGATGAGTAATTAATAATAATGAGTCTTTTCCAACTTCACTGAGTGTAATTAATAAATACCCCTTTTGTTTTTTCCATATTGATTTATACATGCTCTGGTTGTAACATTTATTTCACAATACATAATTCTGTTTACATACTCAGTATCACCTACCAGATTGTGACCTCCTTATAAATGAGGACTATCATCAGATTTCCCTCTGGAATGTTCAATGAATAAATGCACCAGACAAGCCCAAGATAATTAAGGCTAATTTGATGATTAGAGAAGTCTTTGGTGACCTTCAAGTATTGTTTCAGAATAGCGCCAAGGACATAAAATTAAATGAAATAGATAGCCAGAAAGAGAAGGTAATGTGTAAGGATAATTTATTCAAAATATTGACTGTGGATAATAACTCTATAATAGAGGGGGCAGTAGAGCCAGCAGCTGGAAAATGGTGAGGCTAGTGGCAAAAGTTATTATAATTATCATCCTGAATAAGTTCAGCATAATTAGGCCAGAGGAGAATAGGAATTGGAAAAAATAAAAATAGAAAATCAAGAATTCATGAGTGCCTGCAAATACCTAGGCGCATTACCAGGGAAAAGTGTTGGACCACCCCAACACCCATTCTGTCAGTGATCTGCTAGAGCATGGGGGACAGGTTCTGTCCTGAGAACCTAGGGCTACAGGACCTCCAGTACACAGGGCACATGGGGAAACAACAGGATTTCCAGGAAAAGTCCCAGTGATGCCCCAGTGCCTATGATGTATCAGAGACCAGGGGCCTCTAATCAAATCAATGGTTCTTTGTGATGAACACCTGTATGTATCGATGCATGATAAATGGGTTTAGTGCATTAGTCACTGTGGCACAATGCAGCCTGCATAATGAGATCTTCCTCTTCTTCCTTTTATAAAAAAAATGATTTTGTTTTATTTTTGAAGGGAG